GGAAGATTAGAAGAGTTGGAATGAGGGATGATAATAGGAGATTTGAGTATATGACTTACAATCGACACTCTCCTTTTGATGGCCTTTTTGGCCGGCGACGGCCGCCGCCGCGTCCACCGCGTCCACCGCGTCCACCGCGTCCTCCACCTGCATTCTAGAACACTGTTAGCCAACTACCCAAATGTACCACCATACTGGGGATGAATGTAGAATAATAAATCCCCAAAAGGGTTTAGCGAAAAGGGAGATGACATAAGTAGACATGGAAGGAAAGATGCTAGAAAAAAGAAGACAAACTTACACCACCGAAATTGAACACGAAACCTATGACCACGTTAGCTTGAAATCGAAAGGGTATACTCACAGGTCCACTGGACCACCGAAATATGAGGGGATATGGGGTAGCAATGTGGGATGGGGAGGTAACTCACTCGGGCCACCGAATTGTCCTGTTATTAGTTAGCAAGTGCTCAAAAGGTAAAGGGGCATGTGTGGTTCGGTGGGGAGGGGAACTTACCACTCATCATCGGGGGTGGGCCTGAAGAAAAAAAAGAAAAGAAAGCAAAGCTGGGGGGAGGGAGGCCTTTTATCCTCTCAATTGGCGGTCACGTTACAGCAGTCAGGTCGTCATTCTGCCTGGCCTCCTGCCTCAAACACCACACCCCACCTTCTCAAACCAGCCCAATATGCCCAACAAACGACACACCGCCAATCAATCAATGTTTCTGGCAGATTCCAGCCAGCACTGAATGACGTGTTGAGAAAACTTGCAGAACCCCCGAGCCCACTGCTAATACATACAGATTTAATGCCATTGACTACACTAAGGTCGTCCCACCAAACCCGGCAGCAAGGGTAACAAGCATATCGTCCACGTTCACTGGACTCATTGCCCCGACAATGTCAGTCTCAACCCCCCCCCTTTTTTTTTAACTGACTGTGTATTCTAACAAGCATCTAGTAGATCGTAATGACACCCGCATTACCGTTGATCTTGACGAAGAACAAGGCCATCCCACCAGACCCAGCAGCAAGGGCAACAAGCATATCGTCAACGTTCTCTGGACTCGCCAGTCTCAGCTTGGAAAGCGCCACTCAACTTTACATCCTTCGCTTGTCGGTGGCCGAGACACTGACGTGTATCACGGCGTCATGAAGCCTTATGATGTCCATTCATATATGTAGCTCCGAAACAGCGAGGCAAAACATCTTGCATCATCGTCATGCACATGGGAATGTGTATTATTGAAATGGAGAGTTGTGGGGGGAGACGATCAAGACAGCACATGGCGGGCGGTAGTACGAGGAGCTGCAAGAGGAACTGGGCTCCTGGCCCGCCTTGGACAGGCTGTCCCGGTGGGCACTTCGATTGAGGGTATCCAAACCGGTATCTCGCCGGGGGCGACACCTACGACGACGACAAGAGGAGCGGCGACGGCGAGATGGAAAGGAGGTAGCCTAGCTATGGAGGACCACCTCAATGTAGAGTCTGATACATAGTGTCCAAATTGAAAATAACTAGTAGTATATATGAGTATAGCAACAACAACGACGAACAATAGTGTGGAGTAGCAACTTAGTCCAGGGGATGTTGACGGCTGGATTTGAAAGTCAGCCTAGAATTACCAATTATGGTTCTGCAGCTTAAACCAGAGATGTGTTTGAAGAGATCGGCAGGAGACAAGATATCGGGAATTTGTATATGCCAAGGGTGTGGACCAAATCTCGGTGTTTGCGTGGGCTCACGTGATGCTATCGTAATCGAGAAAGTTGAGCGTATCAATGCAGTCGTTCGGCCAGGATGCTCGACAATTCAGGAAGGACTCGAGACCGATAAAAATCGAGTGGCGCGTCCAGCGAATGTGGATAATATGTTACTTGTCCCTGGCGACAGTCCCTTTCGTCATAGAGGTTAATGGTAATGAAGAACGGGAAAGGCATAAGCAACATTGATGTGTGGGCTGGAAACGTCATTGGTTGAACAGGAAAAGCTGATTCTTCATCTAAGATAGACTACAGGAAGCCGTATGTCAAAACATTCGCTCATAATCCCGAATTTTCGGATGTATATCTTTTGTACAAAGTGAGACTATCAGCGAACTGCCCCAGACACAATGGCCGACTCTTCACCCACCACGAAAGTCCGTCTATGACTTCTCGAGATCAGCGAGAATCTTCTCTCCCTTGGCGCGAGCGGAAGCGAAGTCACCAACCATGTAAAAAGCACCTGTGATTGTTAGCTCGACTTGAATTTATGCTTGTAGATGATTGAATAACGTACCTTCGGGGAGGTCATCACCCTCGCCGGACAGGATAGCCTTGAATGAGTTGATGGTCTCCTTGAGGTCGACAAGCTTGCCCTCAATACCAGTGAAGACCTGGGCGACAGCGAAAGGCTGGCTCAGGAAACGCTGAATCTTACGGGCACGCTCGACGGTAAGCTTGTCAGCTTCCGACAACTCGTCCATACCGAGAATGGCAATGATATCCTGGAGCGACTTGTACTCCTGGAGAATCTGCTGGACGCGGGTGGCGGTCTGGTAGTGCTCATCGCCAATGACACGGGGGTCCAACATACGGGACTTGGAGTCAAGAGGGTCGACAGCGGGGTAGATACCCAACTCGGAAATACCACGGGACAAGACAGTGGTGGCGTCCAAATGGGCGAAGGTGGTGGCGGGAGCAGGATCAGTCAAATCGTCAGCGGGGACGTAGACAGCCTGGACGGAGGTAATGGATCCCTTGGAAGTAGTGGTAATACGTTCCTGCATGACACCCATGTCAATGGCGAGAGTAGGCTGGTAGCCGACGGCAGAGGGAATACGGCCAAGCAGAGCAGACACTTCGGAACCGGCCTGTTGTTGTTAGAATTCGTTTTCTTCGCCCAACCACCAAAACTCCGCGATCTCAACTCCATCACCCCCCAAACCCTCCAAAAAAACACCACCAACTTGTAAAGAAAGCAGAAACTTACCTGTGTGAAACGGAAAATGTTGTCGATAAAGAGCAACACATCCTGGCCATCCTCACGGAACTTCTCAGCAACGGCGAGACCTTGTATGTGTTAGCAAATATGTTTCTCGGGTTATCATCATAGTGCACAGTAGTGAGGAAAGGAAAGAAAAAAGTAGGTGGAGCTGTCAGTGGGACATGTAAGAACAAAAAGGAAACATGAAAGTACATGACGTCGTGTCCGCCATGGCGCATTCTAGTGTATTGACATGTTGATAGAAAAAGCCACTTACCAGTCAGAGCGACACGGGCACGGGCACCTGGGGGCTCGTTCATCTGACCGAAAACCAGGGCGACCTTGGATTCACCGTCGAGTTGAATGACAGAGGTCTCTTGCATTTCGTGGTAAAGATCGTTGCCCTCACGGGTACGCTCGCCGACACCAGTGAAGACGGAGAAACCACCGTGGGCCTTGGCAATGTTGTTCTGTCTCCTCGTTAGCAAATGCCAATTCTGTAGCGAATGCATAGTCGTACAATCAGCTCCTGAATGAACACAGTCTTGCCGACACCGGCACCTCCAAAGAGACCAATCTTTCCACCACGGGCATAGGGGGCGAGCAGGTCGACAACCTTGATGCCAGTGACAAGGACCTCGGCAGAGGTAGACTGCTCCGTAAACTCTGGGGGATCGGCGTGGATGGACGCATAGGTATCAGTCTTGATGGGACCACGCTCGTCAATGGGGTCGCCAGTGACATTCATAATACGGCCGAGGGTTCCATTTCCGACCGGCACCATGATGGGGTTACCAGTGTCAATGGCCTTGGCGCCTCGAACGAGACCCTCGGTACCGTCCATGGCAATGCATCGGACAGTGTTCTCACCCAAATGTTGCTACGTTGTGTCAGTCTTTCCTAGCTCAAGCGTCGGGTGCTTGGCGCCTTACAGCAACTTCTAGGACGAGTTTCTGGTCTCCATTCTGCGTAGTAATCGCATTGAGAATGGCCGGAAGCTGCTCCGTATCGAACTTGACTAAAACTCCTTGTCAGCGAATTCATTCAGAATGCAAATCGCAACAAAGCTCTTCTATCTCTGCAGAAAAAACTTTTCCTACAAACAGGAAGGGAAGGAACGAACCGTCCACGACTGCGCCCACGACGCTCGAAATCTTTCCTTCTCTTACTGCATCAGTAGAGGCGAAGCGGGTTGATAGAGCGGGGATGAGGCGCTGGTTGAAGGGCTGGAATGCGCGCACTGGGCGGCGGAGGGACGCCGCGCGAAGCGAGCGCTGGAGACCGCTATTTTGAAGATTAGAACATGATTCATTGCCAATTGGGTCAATGGGGGTGGAGTCATACCTCTTGAGCATTGCGGGAGATGGGGTGGAATGGTGTGGGCGATGAGAGGTGGGTGTTGCAGAGGTTGGCGAAAGAAACGAGGGCGGGAGTTTGGGAAGCTACCGAGCAATGCGTGGACCGAGCGCCCGGTAGATCACGTCACGTGATATACGTCACGACACTCCTCGGCAAGGCACGATATTTCAAGTTTGATTTTTATTGTGTCAGCTCATGGAGTTAGGGAGGATTGTGCAAGTTATTCTTTTTAACCGCGGGGAGGAAGTGTAGAAGCTGGTTGATTGTTTTTGTTGTCTAGACTTTGGTGCAGACGAGACGATACAAAGACAACTTGATACACCCGTTCACTACTCCAAGAAAAGAATTGGGCCACTCTAATGATCATGAGGCATACCTTGGGTCTTCCGCGGCCGTTTTGTGCCGTAGTGATTGCCACTGCTGGTAGATGTGGGAGCTGCTTCCTCACTGATGGCAGCGGGCAAGGACATGGCACACAGAAGCGGAAAGTGTGTTGATGTGTTAGGAGAGAGCCAGGCATGGTGCCTTCTGCTTCTTACCTGGTGCTGTTGATACATTCTGCGTCTGTCTGGCTCGATTTCTTCTTCACCGTATACCGATTGTAGACCTCTTTTCAATCTCCTGCCTCCCTATACCTCGCTTCTCTTTCGGATACCATACAAATCCGCTCACCATGCCTTCCACCCGCACCACCCGCACCACCAAGCGTGCCGTTTCTGAAGCGTTTGCTTCAGATGACCAGAACACCGCTTCGGTGAAGCGTCCTCGCCCTTCGGAGGCACCAGAGATGGAGGTCGAGGTCGATCACGTCCTCGAACCCGATTTCTTCCCGTTTGCGGAAGAAAATGAGAGCCCAATTGGCCTCGAATCATTGGATGAAGAAGTATCCCCATTTTATACTCGAGTTATCCCTAAGCCTTTTATTAATGCTTTAGATGAGTGGGCAGGGAAACCTGCCACTGTATCCAAACTTGCTTCGCGTACCAAGGCCACGCGGAAAGAGCAATTCCGTGGCAACATTCTTACCATTATTAACGCTTTAGTAAAACTCGCTTGCGATACCCGCATACAATGGTTTTCGAATTCGAATCCAGATGAGTTTAAACTTTTTACTCTTGGGTTTGGTACTCTTTTTGCTCGAGCTGATCCCAATTGGCTCGTCGACTCTGTGATGAGCGGCATTCCAGAGTTAACTTTTATAGCATTTACTGATCCCAAGTTTAGTATTAACAGTCTTCTACAGCTTCCTCGGTTGCCAAACGAGCAACTATCCGAGCAGTCGGTATATGTCGACTGCCTCGAGTACGGTCCCCAGGAGCAAGAGGACTGGAGAACATATGTCGGTTCGGCTTCGGGCCAATTTGGTTCTTTACAGCGTTGTTCCGTCTCGCAAGGACCCGACATTCAATCGGGATAACTGGTACTTCGCTGACCCGAGTCGACCATCGAGCAGCAATGTCAAATGCAAGAATTGCGTCATGTACGAACAGAAGTATGGCAAGGAGCGGCCTGCGGAGTTTGAGACGAAGAGGCCTAGTCTTACCCCCAAGACCAAGCCGACGCACGAGAAGCCAGAGACCTGTGAGTTTGATGGCTGCAATGAGCCAGCCCGTGACTGGACTGGTAAGCATATGAAGTGGTACTGCACGAGGCATAGGGCTCGTGCCAATGACGGTGATGACATGAATGCAGTGTACAAGACCATCGCGCGCCCGACCAAGCCGAAACCCGCGAAATGCACGTCCACGATCAAGGGCGCCCCCTGCCCACACAAAGCTGAACATTGGAGCAACAAGCAAGGTGATTGGCTTTGCAAGCTTCATGAGGGTCGTTCAACGCGTGGACATCCGATGGACGCCGCAGACCGGGGTCCAAAAACCAAGGTCATGGCACCACCCGGGCCAAAGCCCACTACTTGCCAGTGGGATGGCTGCACCCGGCCAATACAAGGCCCCTTCAATGGTAAGACACGTAAGTATCTGTGTAAAACCCACGAGGGCCGTGCCCAAAAAGGCTATGACATGGATGCGCCGATGGGTCCCCCCAGAGTTCTCCCGCCGCGTGGAAAGAAGAAGAAGAGCGAAGAGTAGTGGTCGGTAAATAATGTAGGTTTATGGCGGAATGCCATTATTCTTTTGGCGGGATGCCAACATGGCGGGATGCCAGTATTCTTTTGGCGGGATGCCAGCATGGCGGGATGCCATTGTTCTTGTGGTGGGACGCCAACATTCCTTTGGCGGGATGCCATTATTCTTCTGGTGGGACGCCAGAATTGGTAGATACCTGTTGTAGATTGAAATATATTTCATGGTGTATGATGATTCAAGTGTTTATCTCGTCAAAATGTATTGTATGTGATTGTGATGGTGTATTCGTTGTGGTGTAGTAGCATATGAGCAGACTTGAGATCGATCAATTCAATACATTTGAGGGGTCATTTTTGATTTGATTGATACACATTTTGATTGATACACATTTTGATTGATACACATTTTGATTGATACACATTTTGATTGATACACATTTTGATTGATACACATTTTGGTAACTTTGAATTCGGTTTTGATTGATTTGATTCATTTTGATTTGAAATTTCCTCATCTAACGATTAGAACTAAACATTGCTAATAGAATGGTGGGCAGGTTGGTGGTGAGAAAGTTGGTGGTGGGTAGGCTGGTGGTGAGTAGGCTGTTGGTGGGTAGGCTGGTGCTAAGAAAGCTAGTAGTAGATAAGCTAGTGGTAAGAAAGCTGGTGGTGAGAAAGTTGGTAGTGGGCAGGCTGGTGATCTGGTAGATCAGATCACTAGTGTTCTCACCACCAATATAGACTGCACGTGATTCAATCTATCAATTAAATCAATCAATCCAGGCCTCCGTAGCTTGATTGATACATCCTCAAGCTCCTACATTTTTGAATTGGTTGAATTAAACGAATCAATTAGTTTTCAATCAATCGAATTAATAGATTGATTGTTCCCAAGTCTGCATGTGAGCGGGTTACGAGTATGTCATGTGACATGACGTGTCATCCACGTGACAGTGATCATGAGAAGCCTTCATACGTGACCAAGCTCAAAAGATCCAAAGGCGAACCACAATTCGAGCTGGTGGAACAAAGCTGAAATTTAACCGTTACCAAAGAATTGATTGATGGAGATATCTATATGCTCCAAACTATATACTCCAAACGCCATCGTCTGAAAACCCCTATTGGGATGAATTTACATTTTTCCACAAATTCACGCCGTTTTGTAACGTTCTGAAGTAGAGAGGGACGTATGCAGGCGCATGGCGTGGCGTCGGTGGATTCGGAATCTGTGGTAGTGGCAGCGTCTGCAGCGGCAGCAATAGCGGCATCGAAGAAAGTTTTTGCTTGACTATTTGAAGCCCACATGCCCCGAAGGAAACTGCACAAATTGGCAAGGGACCAGGTGTAACAGCGGTGATGACAGTGGGAAGACACCCCCAGGACGGGGGGCATCGACTCCCAGCCCGCCAGAGATGAGCTGCCGCCACGGACACTCAGACACCATATGGCCGACCCTTAGACAGCTAACATTTATTAGTATAACTACAACAGGAGATTTGAGTATTTGACTTACAGCCGACACTCACCTTTTGACGGCCTTTTTAGGACGGCGACGGCCGCCACGTCCATCGCGTCCTCCGCCGCGATTGCCACCTGCATTCTAGAACAGTGTCAGCCAACTACCCAAATGGACCACAATAAGGGCGAACGCAGATTCAATGGAAGAATGATTTTTTAATCATGGTGTATTGCTACGAATTCCAGACGTATGACATGATCAAGAAAGTTCAGCGTGTCAATGCAATCGTTGGACAGCGGGAGGATACCCCCAGGAGGGGTATATCAACTCCTAGCCCGTCTTAGACGGGCTACCCCGAAGGGCACTGTGAATGAGACTTCGATAGCTAATATCGATCAGTATAACTGCAATCACAATAACTATTTGACTTACAAATGACATTGGCCTTGTGAAGACAGCTTGAGACGACAGTGGCCGCGGCCATGATTTGCATTCTAGAACAATGTTAGCCAACCACACAAATGCACCATACTTGGACGCGAAAAAGAAGATGAACCTACTTCACCAAAACTGAAGACGAAACCTATGACCACGTTAGCATGACATCGAAAGGGCAGTATAGAGTAGTAAAGTGGAGCAGGGAAGGAACTCACTCTATCCACCAAATTGTCCTGTTATTTGTTAGCAAGTGCTCAAAAGGGAAAGTGACATCAGCGATGTGAGCGACAGCAAACAGAGCAAAGGGGAAGGGAAGTGAAGGGATGGGGCAATTGTAACTGGGAGCGTGTTGCGACTTACCACTCATCGTCGGGGGTGGTAAATTGTGACTTGGTGTGTGTTGCCGCTCATCGTGCCAGTTGAACTTGAGGGAGAAAGGAAAAGAGAAGGAAGACTCGAGGACGGTCTTTTTATATTTCGCAGTTGGCAGTCACCTTGGCGCGGTCACGTTACCGCGGTGACGTCGATATCCTGCCTGGCCTCCTACCTCAGACACCACATCGCACCTTCTCAGTCTAGGCGGATTTTGATATTCACCCAAATTCTCATCTCTGTACCCGTGGTATTGCTCTATCATTATAGTGTACGCCTTTGCACTTCTTCTTTACCTACGTTGTTAAGAAATCTATAATGTGTAACCGTGCCTATACAGAGACGATTCTGAAACCTGCATGATTCAATAATATATTATATTGATTTGAATCTCCTCGTCTCAAGAAGTAAAAGAAATGCCCAACTCCCCAAGAAAGTTTCAGTGCCAAACCTAGTTTTCTTTTAACTTTCCAAGTCATTTGTTGTACTTGTTGTACGTGTATACTATGCAGTATACTGTACCTTTTCAGGCCGCGTGGAGCAGTGGAGTTGAGCTATCGTCTTACACTATTACGGTAAGACTGCGCTTGTTCTACTGAGTTTCACTATGTAAGCGCAATACATATTTACGTGCATATTGTCATGGTATAGAGTTCTGAGTATATTCTGGACAAGCCTAAATCTAGTAGAAAAAAGAGCAAAGATTCAACGGCTTTCCTAGGAAAAGAATGAACTCGGCAATGTTCCCGGATGTGAACCGCTTCCTTGTTTCTAGGGCCATTCCGGGAAATGGCACGCAAGTATCAGACAGCCAAAAGGCATGAAAATGCCATTCCAACCACCCACTTAAAGGTAGTGCTAGTTTTAATACGTATCTCTACTACAGATTTGAGATATATTCAAAGGACCTGGAAATGACCTTCAAGGAGCAACGGAAGACAAGATCAAGAATCATTTTGACTCCAAAAAGAGGAATCTAAGAAAGAGGCCCCTTCGACAACAAAGGACGACGCGGCAAGGCCGAGTCCAAAGGCCAGCCGGGAAATACAGAGCACCCTGACCTCAGAAGGCAACACCACGACACCAGCGAGGACCGTACACAGACACAAAAACCGGCACCACAACTCGTCCAAACCAGAAACAGGAGGAGGGAGAGGAAGAGGAAACTAAAAATTATCCAAGGTAAACTAGGTGAGCTTCACGAGTTCATAGAACGTAATCGATTATAAATTAGTAATTCTAGATGACCTAGAAGATACTTCATAATACAGATAGTAAGACATGTCTAAAAATCCATTCTTTCACTTGACAATTAGCTTATAAAATTAGTCACAGTATTTAATTAAAAGGGAAATAAAGAAGACGTGTTCGGCATTAAGATTTCTCTCAATCTCAGACGTTGAGAAAGGTTTCATTCTTACTACTAAAAGGCTCCTATAAAATCCGATATTCTTTCTCATTCAAGAGAGAAAAAAGCAAACTCTCGATGTTACAGATTCCTTAGCTTGGTAGGAAAACAATATTTCTGAAGAAGAAAAAAAGCACTGCGTGACCCCTCCGTGGCACCACGTAACCCCAATATCACGCGTAAGTAATGAAAACAACTTTCCAATATACATAGCCCTACATAACCCTCTAGCCCCACACTTAATTAATAAAGATACTTTTCTAAGAATCGAACCGAATTTTGCAAAATTCATTCAAAAATCTAATTCAGCATCCGTGACTACGAGCCGCAACCATGATAATACTAAACGGTAACAAGAGCCAAGATAAACCACCCAACACCGCGCTATGCATCACGAATGATTACTGGTATCAACCATCTTTTGAGACAGTAAAAGCTGCATCTAGTAAGCCTTGACTTTCTTGCCCTCTCCGTTCGTTCCAATATCGGCCTTCCTTTTCCCAAGAACAGAGTCTGGCGTGCCAGGCATCTCAATACCGATTCCCTTGCTATACTCTTCGAAACATGTAGCATGGTACACCTTGCCGCCCACACTTAGGGCGTCCATCCATACGAAATCATTCGCTTCCACGTTCCATTGTGTCTCAAACTTCTCTTGGCAGATCGGGCAGGGTGCTTGCTGAAGTGTCACGTCCTGCGGAACGCTGACATAGCGGTCCTTGGTCTGCTTCTTCGGCTTGGCTGCATTGTTGCCTGAAGAGGAATGGTTAGACTGGTTAGGGGCGGTTTCGTCAAGTTCGCGATATTCGATCCATTCCTTCTCTGGAATGTACCAGCTGCGATGTACGCCTCGTTTGGCAGCGTCTGGGTCCTTGACCTTGAAGTGCCAGTCCATGTGGCGAGCCTTCTTCTCTTTTCCCTCAGCCGTGTTTTCGAACCGGCGACCACAAGTGGCGCAGATGTTGGGTTTGGCTTCATATAGATGGGAGATGAGGTGAAGACGGGGTTTCTTCATCGATGCGGTAGTGAGTTCAATTTGGTCCAACAAGCCAACTGGCGCCACTGATTGTTCAGTTCCTTGCTGGAGTGAATTGGGGACTCCATTCACAGGCGTGGGACCAGATACACTGCTCAGGGCTTTGAGAAGCCACTCAGCACTGCCAAGGGCTGGCGGGGGAGCCGCAGGCTGCAATGGAAGTTGAGGTACAGGAGTGCTTTGAACAGATGTAGGCTGAACTGAGGGTTGCGCAGCAGCAGGTTTGCTGAATTGGGCAAGCAAAGCAGCCAAGTTGGTGGTTGGTGTGCTAGACTGTGCTGGAGGAGCGGATTGGGGTGCGGGTATTGGTGTAGAAATAGGCGGCGGGAATGCTTGAAACGGTGGCTGGAATGGAGCTGGAGCGGGTACAGAACTTGATTGTGCAGGCGATGATACACGTTTCAGCAATTCCGCCAGGTTCAAAACAGGTGGGGTTGGGGTCGGAGCAGGTTGTGGTGTTGACTGTTGTGGTCTAAAGCCCGCAAGAAGTTGTGCCACATTCGGTGGAACATTGACTGGCGAAGCAGTCACAGCGGGAAACTGAGCAGGGTAACCGGGTGCCACTGTCTGCTGCGGAGGATATACTGGTGTAGACGGTGCAAACGAGGGTGTCGGAGTGGGCGGAGGTGCTAGGGCTCGAATCTGTTGACGTACAGCCTCCAGTTGTTGTGGTGGTAGAGTCTGTGTGTCCAAGATTTGCTTGAGAGATAAGAGTGCCGAAAGTTTCGTACGCAGGGCAGCATCGGCTGGGTTTTGGGCGAAGGTGTTCTGTGTAGTGCTGATTAGCTGAGTGACTTCCGCCTTTAATCCAGCCAAATCAATGGACGACATGGGCGAAGGAGGCTGCTGAGGTTGCGCGTAGGACACCGGAGGTGTAGGGGCATGTGCTGTAGATCCATATTGAGGAGTCGATGGGTATGACTGGGTTTGAGCTATTAGTATTTGGTAGTATCATCCCAGGGACAAAAACTTACTGGTCGAGCACGCGGGTCATTGGGGGCAGCATAACGGGGACCATTCTGCGGCGGCGTAGATGTACCTCTCCAAGCCACGTTGAGCGATGGAGGCCGAGGCGGGAGCGCATGTTGCGGTCGGACCTGCTGTTGAGCTGCATGAAACTTAGCCAGCGCGTTCTCGATATCTTGCGTCACGTCGGCTGAGAACACTGGGCGTGGATCCATAGACTCGGGCACAGGCATCTTCCACGTCTTGAGCAAGCCTTCCATGTTCTTGCGGGTGGCCTGGTCCATGACCAGATAAGCATCCATGAATGTTCGGTACAGGTTGCGACCGATGTAGACAGTATATGGGGTTCCGACATTCTTGACAATGGAATCAAGCACATAAAGAGCGGGGAGTTTCCATTCAGGACGAGTCTATTGCAATCAGTCACCAGTATCAAAAGCATGACGGGAAACGAGAGGAGAATATGAAATCACTCCATCAAGTAATGTATCCAAGACTCACCGATTGGATATGTTTCTGGAGCTCATTGGATATAGCTTCGGCGTACTCTGTATTTTCTTTGGCGATGAGGGTTAGATTGCTTATCTCGGGCCTGCTATTCATCCTCAAATCTTGCAGTGCGTCCCGAAAATCGGCTGCTACTTCAGCTGCTGGGAGAGACATAATGGGCAAGGATGCTTTGGGTTAGAGCAAGAAGAATATGTGCTGTGTCAGGGTGTAATGTCGCGCGCAGGGGACAGGGTAAGCGGCTCGCGTTTCGATCAGAAAGTACCAACACTGCCAATGTCGATGCCAGATGAACAAGATAGACAATATGCTTCCTCGCTCTCCACGAACACACGTAATGACAGTGCTTGTTGATACTAGCTATGGCCGCGCCAAATGACGCAGTGTAGACTGCGCCGGTACAGCTAGGCAGTAACAAACTCGCTCTCCTCCAGCTACTGCAATCCTCCTTATGTCTGTATCCTCCCTCCTTCAATCCAAGTGTCTGGAAACAGTGCGCGACTGCTGTGCGGTCGTCAACAAGACCCTGGAGCGGTTCACCAGCGATGCTGCGATGACAACGCCAAGGTTTGTAAAAGGTGCTGCCGGTATCGTGAGCTACTGCTTGTCCACGAAGCAGTGATGCGATTCAAGCGTCTTTTCTGTGAGTTACTCGTTGTGCTGAGAATGGTGGATGGCGTCGTGGGCCTGAGAGCGGTGGTCAGGCAAGAGAGAGAAGGACAAGGACGGAAGACAACGGCTCAAGGCATTGGCAGCAGCAAGCCGCGAACCAACCCGCGCACGGACGCCACCTGTCGGGTTCGTGCCAAGACCGGCGTCGGCTCAAAGTATCGCCGCGCGTCATGGGCAGTCGCGCTCCCTCTCCAACTTTCCTTTGAAGGCCATTCTCACCACCGTTCGCGCCCTCCACCACCTTTACCGCGATCAAACCTATCGAACGTCTACCAAGAACCGGCGCTATTGGACAGATACCAAACTTGGATAAACAACTCCAATAGCCACGATGGAGGACGTCGAGTTTACCAAGTCGCATTCGCGATCGCCGCTACCTGAAGCTGGCAACGACCCAGCCGACCCCTTACGCCCTGAGATCGACGAGGAGAATTCCACCCCAAACCCTCCAATCGGAGACCCAGACCAAGATATGGAGGTGACGGAAGACCGACCCGGAGAGATGCCTGACCAGGACGATGTCGAAGCTGGCCTGTCGGACAACGAGTCGGTTCTTTCAGAGGCGCTTAACGATGACCAGATGGACGAGCAATTTGGCGACTTTGACATCGACAATGTTGCCATCGATGAGCGCCCGGCTCAGATCATTGATGAGGACAACGTCAAGCAGATTGGTGTGCACAAGCGCAAGCGCACCGCAGGTGAAGGCGAGGAGCCCAAGAAGAAGAAAAAGAGGGCAGACAAGCCACGTAGGAAGAAGAACAAGGACGGTGAAGAAGATGGTGATATTGCAGAGGGTGAGAGGCGGAGCAAGCGATCCAAGAAAGCAGGCAGAGTACGGGACGCAAGCCCAGAAGGAGACCCAGACGAGCATCTCACCCCAGAAGAACGTAAGTATTTAGGCGCATGGATCGACTTTTCGCGTGTACTGATGGTTTTTCTAGGCAGGAAAAAAGCGCTGAACGCCCAGATTGACAGCATCGTCAAGGGTAGCTCGAACCGCCGTCGCAAGAAGGATGGAATCGACCTTGAACAAATGGCCGACCAAGAAATTGAGGAGATGCGACGTCGCATGGCACAAGCCGCCGAGGCCGACAACGAGGGCAGAAAGCGCAACGAGCCAGCGCGACACAAGCTCAAACTTTTGCCAGAAGTCACAGCTTTGCTGAATAAGAACAACCTGAGAGACACCATCGTGGACCCTGAAGTAAACTTACTTGAGTCGGTGCGCTTTTTTCTGGAGCCCCTGAGCGATGGCAGTCTTCCCGCATACGATATCCAAAAAGAGCTCTTCGCTTCATTGGCGAAACTACCCGTCAACAAGGACACACTTGTCGCATCTGGTATCGGCAAGGTTATCATGTTCTACATCAAAAGCAAGAGGCCCGAGTTGTCCATTAAGCGACAGGCTGAGCGGCTCTTCACCGACTGGACCCGCCCCATCCTTAGGCGAACGGACGACTACCGCAAGAAGGAATTTGCCCAGGCCGACTACGACCCAAGGTATGTCCCTGTCTGTCAAGTTGGTCATAAGTGTACTAATATCTCTGCAGTCAAATCAACAATGGCGACAGGACCGTCAACAGCCAACAAGCCGCCATTGCCGCCAGCCGGAAGAAGGCCCTCGAGGCCCCTCGTGCTTTCCAGCGTGCTCGCATGGAGTCTGGCCCAACCACCTACACCATTGCACCCAAGAGCAATGTTGTGTTCAACGAGAATGCCCGAAGCCGTTCGACCAATGTGGATATCATGAAGCAGATCAAGGGAGGTCGCGGTGGTGGCAGGCGCTGAGCTGGTATCGTGCCAGGTAGACATTGTCTCTCGGACACCTTTTTTCTTTTCTCTTCTTGCCGGTCTTGATTTTGCATTACAGCTATAGCCTTGACGTGGAAGGAACATTTACCAGTAGTTTCACATGCGCGACTTGGGGTCACACGGGAGAATGCATAGCGGGCGTTACTCTACGCATTTGGGATTGCTTATGAGATTGGGTCAGTTTTTCCTTGAAAAGCTTATACTGTACACTATATATCCAATGTATTCATGTTTTAATTGCTGATTACTGAGTCTGTAACCTCTTTTGGGCATCTCTGTTGACACTTAAATTCACGAACCCCTGGAAACAAGAGATATATATATCAAATATACATAAACTTCGTTCGTACTCAAAATCTATACACAAGAGCTATATCAAACCACCCCCCTCCAACCTACCATCTTACGCCCCAAACCCATCAATCCTAAACACATTCACCGTATCAACAAACGTACTATTATTCTCCGCCGCACCTGCAACCTGCACCCCATCCCGTGTAATCATCTGCGTACTCCCCACCGTATTCAGATTATAAAAACTAACATCATACGTTGACGTCGCGCCCTCTATACTCAAGATCCGTTGCTGACACGCCGTCAGAGCATCGACGCGCGAGCAGTTGGTGCTGTAGTTGTTGAAGAAAGAATACAGGCCGATGCCGTAGCCCAGGATGTTGTTGCTGCGGATGATGCGGAGGCCCCAGCCGGAGACTGTGTTAGGGCTGGGGACGGTGGTGGAGTTGGATGAGCGGGATGTGGCGTTGGAGGGGGTGTCGAATAAGGGGATTAGAGTGGAAGGAGGGGCGGAGGGATCTTCTGAGGAGGAGAAGACGGGATCGAAGAGGGAGGGGTTTACGGGGAAGGGGATGGTGGCGTTGGGGTTGGGTTGGTAGTATGCTGTTTCTGTTTGGATTTGGCCCATGAATATGTTGCGGGTGTCGACGAATTGGTACTGGTAGAGGGTATGGTGTTCGACTGAGGTGCCATAGCTATTTTTCATCAGTATTAGTTTCTCTCTTCATGGTCATGGGTGAGGAATAGGAAGGTGAAACTTACAGCCATAGTCGTCCGTTGATGCTTTCAACGAGGAGTCCTCGGCCAGCGTAGAGAGTGAGTTGAGCTTCACCGCGGGTATCGAGCTCGTGGTCGGCGGTCCAAAGCCAATTGTTTTCCATGTACAATCCAGCACCAAATTTTGTTACGTGCATTGTCATGTATGAAGCGATACAGTCTTGGTCCAGATTGCCTTCGGTAATCGTCACATTACTAGGTGTCCTCTCGCACTGTGCAGTTTGCAGTTCTGATCCCGCAAAGCCGCCAATACGGGCGTGCACATCCCAGAGACCGGCTGGCTCCTGGTTGTATGTACCAAGATTGTACTCGTAAAGTATGGCACCTGCTTGTTGGCCCTGGGTACTAACGATCAGGTCTGAGATCTCGACTCGGCCCGTTTCACCTGGCAGAGCGATTCTCACAACAGGTTGGGGATCTGCCATGGAGTTGAAAAAAGGACCAGAAGAAAGAATGACAGCCGTGATCGGTTCGCCTACAATGATAGAGCCAGGAGGTACATAAATCGTAGACGTGACCTTGTAGTATCCTGCATCAAGGAATAGAATCTTGCCTTCTTCCTTGGCTCTCAAGATAGCAGCGTTGAGAGCGGCAGTATCATCCGTACGACCGTTTCCGGTAGCACCTAGATCGCGAGCACTGAGGAACTGAGACAAGGGTACATCTCCATAAGAAGGTTTCGAGCGCTCGTAAAACCTTCCCTGGGCATCCACCAAGTCAGCTGGTCGTTGCGTGGGCTCGATACGACCACGTGCAATATCGGGGCCGCCATAAGAAGTATAACGGTGCCCATCAGCCCAAGCATCAACAACCACGGAACCAGAGGATCCTGCGAGGTAGGTTCCATTGGAGCCAAGTACAGCAGCCTGTACATTGTCAAACTTGACGTTTTCCAGATACAAGGCTCCAGCAGCAGCGGGCTGAGAATTGTCGGTCCTGGCAGTAGCAATACCAACCTCTGTATTCTTGATTTCGCTGTCGAACAATGTAATGGATCCTATACTCTGTGATGAAGAACCTCCGGAAGAGACATTCAATCCGACCCGACAGTTGTTAATAGACACAGACTTGTATGTCCAGCCCCAGTCCCAGAACATCTCAATGGCAGTGTCGATATTGTTGAATGTTAGGTTTCGGGTAGTGAACTGCTGGTTTCCAACTAGGAAGCCCCGGCGTCCGCCGTTAAATACCAGATCAGTCATGAAGCCTCCAGAACCTGAGTCGATAAGAAGACCAATGTGCGTTGTTCCATTGTTGGGATTCATGTTAAACACGACATTTTGGATGCTAGTTGCCTGTGCGGTTGGCCAGTAGATTGAGACAGCAGAGAAGTTGGTGGGTAGTCTTGTAGTGTCGATGATGATATTGCGGATCTGGCGGTAGAAAGAGACTGTAGACCCGTAACCAGAACCATCCAGGATTGTTGTTCCGCCAGGAGAAGAAAAGTTGGCAGCAGCAAGGATAGTAGGGAGACAGTTGGGATTTCCAACAATCTGGATAATTTAGTCAATCTTTATCTTAGCGAATGATCACGGGTACCATACTTGAGTGTTGTAGTAGTCTTTAATGGCATCAGACACCAAATATGTTCCACCTGGGAAATACAGAATAGCTGGTGTGTTGGTGGAACTCGAGCAATTGCCAGGTACACATCGATTGCCGTCTGTAATGGCTCGGTTGATAGCTGCGGTGTCATCCGTGACGCCATCGCCAACTGCACCGTAAGACTTGACATTCCTGAAGACTGTATAGTTGTTTGGGTTTGGATTGAAGCTAGCAATACCCTGATGTTTAATGTTTTCCATCCAATATGGAGCACAATTAGACCCAGAGGTAAGATGCTGGCGAGGTTTTACATGTGGATGGGCGAAGGGCTCCGCGGGAGCGGAGATGTCGGCAGGCTGGTGAGCATAGCGAGCATTGAGCGCGAGTGCGCTTGTCGACAACAAGCCGAGTACGACGGCTGTTGGATTAAACATTTTCAAACACTGAAACAAGAAGTAAAAGAGTGACAAGAAGAATAATTGTATAGACTCGTACGATGACAAGGCTTACTCTATCTATACGAGCCGTGCATTTGGGTGCAAGGGGACTCCACGTTAAAGCATACCCCAGGGCATACCGCTTAGCGTCATGGACCCGAGCAGGATATAAGCCGGTGTGTGACGATCATGCCCATCTGTGCAATTAGCCAATAATCTAAGAGAAACTTGTGGGCGCAGCATGGTCCGTTCGGGCTTGGTGCTGTGCAGGATGGGTGCGGGTATGTCAACGACGACATGTCTTTGCGGCTTGCCACAGCTGATCCCTGTTGGGGGCGGGATGATCATCGAGGCCAATTAGGTTCAGGCCTTAAATCGACCCTTTAGAAATATACCAAGGGTTGTTTGAGAGCCACTGAACATAGGAGAGTGGCTATCTCTGATAGTATGTAATGTAATGATGATCGCCTCATGAGTTGTGGTTAACTTTAGTCCGTTGTCTTGCCTATAGCAAAGTAGTGCCTATTACGCGACGCGCATACCAAAGCAAGATGCCTCCATCGCCAGTGGGGAACCAACAAGATACAGACGGCTAGTACGGATTCCTGTTGTCCCGTTGATCACTCGTGTCACCCGATTTGGATTCCATTGGGAAGCGTGCTAACAAAAATAGCGGACGCGAAACCATCAGCAGACAGGGGCAGTAGAGCGCCAGAGAGGCGGTCCGATCTGACAGATTACATTCCTTTTCACGGATTTCATGCCGCACCCGAGATGACTTCTGACAGACGAACCGCTTCAAAGACCTAGAGAGGAAAAGTGCATACTGTTCATGGAAGACGGACTTACTTGGGCGTTTTCTGTTGCTGTTGTACGATTGGGCTTCGCAAGCATATCTCCTTTCTGCAGGGCAGCGGCAGACAGCAATTCAACCTGCATATTGAAGATCAAAGGATTCAACTGTAAATAAGTTCCTGTCGATCATGCAAGCCAGGGCGAGCAGATCCTTAAGAGAAGCAAACAAGGCGGTTAATGCGAAGCATCGTGTACGGATGTATATGTGCACGTGACCCTCTGACTGCGTCGGCAGCATCCGGCGCCCAAACGCCGACTACTCCAAACTTTTGCATGTCAAAGTGCCCGTTGTGAACGTCATCTGCGAGCTCCGCCTTCTCAAGTCAAACTCTAAACACGCAACTCTCTCGGATCCACCCACATAGCAACCATGTTCGGAGGTTAGTCAAACCCTATATGTGGTGTAAGAGGGAGAGAGGAGGACGGACTCTCGGGGCGGATTATGGCTGACAACGGATGTAGCACCACCACAGCCTTCTAAGCAGGAGCTTGCCGCGGCTGAGGCGCAGACCATGTCCGATATCAAGTGGACGGCGGCCAGCGCTGTTGTCTTGTACTTTTGTAAGCAGATCTGTCCAGAGCTGCGCAAGTGTGTCTCAGACTAATCAGCAGCAGCGCCGCACCTTGTCGAATACGTCTCCAAATTCTTCTAAACGAAACGAACCTACTGTCGCATACCGCAGCTGTCTACACACCCATCGTTTATGGGTGAGAGGAGCGTAATGTCGAAACGAAAGGCAACTGTATCATATATGCGCATGCAGTCAAGAATGCGCTTGTAACAATACCAGGGCACATGAGGTGCCTGTCGGGAAACGCTGGCCACCGAATGTAATGATATCCCGAATGCAAGAGTTTCCATTGTTTCGTGGTCCTTTCCGAGATGGACATTACAAGACAAAGTGTACAGAATGGTAGCAACGCTCTCGGGATGCTAAGACTATTATCGGTTTCTATGCATCCGCCGCTTGGTATCTCACAACGCCCAACTTTTGACGATATAAACCCCCACATCTCTAGTGAATCATACATGCTCAAAGCGCCAAAGTACATGAAAAATTATCGCTT